TAGGGACAGAAATTTTTGGTTTGGAAACCATGATCATCATGATTTTAGCATCCTCATCTCTTTTATTTTTCTTCAGAGATGGGGTCTTGCTCTGTTGTCCAGGTTAGAGTACAGTGGCAAGATCATAGCTCACTGCAGCCTTAAACTCCTGAGCTTGAGCAATCCCCCCATTTCAGCCTCCCAAATAGCTAGGACTACAGGCATGTGTCACCACACCTGGCTTTTATTTTTTTTTCATAGAGATTTCCATATGTTACCCAGGCTGGTCTCGAACTCCTGGGCTCAGGTTATCTTCCCACCTCAGCTGCCTACAGTGTTGAGATTACAGGCATGAGCCACCACACCCAATCTTCATCTCCTTTTTATTTACTCCTGAAGTTATTTCATTTCTGTCTTGGTTCATTCTCTTATCTTTCCTCCTGAAAATGAGACTTCCTCACTCCCTTCCTTTTGAACCTAGGCTCATTAAGATATCTTTGTTTTGGGGGTGGTTTAATCCAATTTCCCTTGGAATCTTGGTGAGGAGCCTCAGAGGCAGGGATAGGACAGTTTTGCACATCCCCAGACTGGATGGATGGCCGAGGAGCTACCTGTCTTTCCTTGTTCTAAAGTCTCCCACTCTGACCATGGGTTCAGAGCCAGGATTGTAGCTGTGTGGCAGGGGAGAAGACAGAAGGCGACATTTGCAGTTCTCTGAAGGTACACTTTTATTTTTTATGTATGTATGTATGTATGTATGTATGTATTTTTAGGGCAAGAACATTCCCTTTGTAAAAGCACAGGGATTGGGCAGAGAAGCTTCAGAATCTTTTCAGAAAGTAGAGTATGCCTCTCCTCTTATAGTTTGTACCTCCTAAGATCTCCCTTCTAAGATCTGCTAAGCTGAATTCAGTTTTATTTATCAGCTTAGACTGATGGACTCAGTACCAGCTGCCTTGCAGGCCAATGTGACACTTTTTTCTGTTCACTGGTGGGCATTCTCCAACGACTAGGATAACAAAGAGGGAGAGACCTGGAACAGGAATAAATCCAACTGGTTGTTCACAGCCACCCCTACACCCCTGGGAACCATCACAGGCTTGGCCATTTCTCCACACTTGCACTGTGTACACTGAGTGCTGAGAGGCTGGTCACAAAGGCCACGTGTTGGTGCTTCTTCAGTACACATACTGTAATTATGCACATGCTTTTAGAGAACACCTTAGAAGTGGGCTTGCTTTGAATCCATTCGAATCAGATAATTAGTTTATAGACAGAAAATATATGCTGTTTTAATTTTTCAAACTTGAGTAAGGATTGCTTTGGGAGTTGTGTGCAGTGTGTTATAAAAATAACTCCTTTTAATTATATTTATTTACTTAATGAATCACACAGATGATAGGTGAGTGGGGTTTTGAGACAGCCTGCAGAGTTGCCCCAAAGCCTCACATTTGTATTGCCTTATGATTTATAAAGTAATTTCACATCCAGTCTTTCTTTCTTTTTTTGAGATGAGTCTTGCTCTGTCACCCAGGTTGGAGTGCAGTGGTGCTATCTTGGCTCACTGCAGCCTACACCTCCTGGGTTCAAGAGATTCTCCTGCCTCAGCCTCCCGAGTAGCTGGGATTTACAGGCATGTGCCACCATGCCCAGCTAATTTTTTGTATTTTCAGTAGAGATGGGGTTTCACCATGTCGGCCAGGCTGGTATTGAACTCCTGACCTCAAATGATCCGCCTGTCTTGACCTCCCAAAGTGCTGCGATTACAGGCATGAGCCACCGCACCCACTCACATCCAGTCTTATGTTTGCAGGGAACATTTCAAGGTTTTGTATACCTAGTAAGAAGCAATGCTGGGTATCTATTTTAGCTCCCAGCTAAATTTAGCTCTATTCCAGCTTCATGTTTTGTGCTTTTTACAAGTGCATTGAGAAAATCATATGATGAAATCAAAAGAGCCATATTGGAATCCTCACTCTAATGTTTAACAGCTGTGTGAACTTGAGAAAGTCATTTTATTTTTCAAAGCTGCAGTAAATGGACTCTCCATGGATTATGGTAAAGACAGTAGATGGTAATTCTGATTCTGCTCTGAAATGTACATGGGTAGATGTCAAGCCTTTAATGGAATAGGATACCTGTTAATGCATAGACTAAAGGAGGTGCCTGGAGAGGCCAAAAATTATCATCTTTATTAAATGTAATAATTGATAGCTGCTTCGTGGTATAGCCCAGACATAAAGGAAACAACTCTGTCCTTTTGGTTCCCCTCATCTGTTCTTTTTTCTCCTCCCATATTTCTCATTGCCTAACATATACAATTTCTATACTTATCAGGTCTACAGTCTATCTTTCCTCTCACTAGAATGGAAGTTCTAGGAGGGATGGATTTTTGTCTGTTTGGTTTGCTGAGGAGTTCCTAGCATCTAAAACTCTGGCACATGGCAGTCACATAATAAGTGCTTGTGTAAATAGTACATCCTTTTGCTCTGCAGATCACTCCAGTGATCTTCTTTAGTTATGAAAATGTAGGGTTTCAGGGAGAAGAAGGGCATGGAGGACCTGGAAAGTTCATTAATTTGTAAAGGGAAGCTGGAATTCCTATAAGGCAAGGAACTGACAGCTCAGCTCTGGAACTTTCTATAAGGCAAGGAACTGACAGCGCAGCTCCTCTTCCTCAAGATTTGAAACAGGGATTCCCATGGGAGTTCCAAGGGGGCCCACACCTGGGCTGGCAGCCCAAGAAAATTGACAGGTCACCAACTTGGGGAGGACAGCGGTTTAGGTTGTTGACTTAGGTGTAATGAACAAACTCAGAGAATTGGGAGGGAATCTGTTTCAGCACAACTTAGGAATGATTCTGGACAGGCCTCCAGTACTGGCCCCTTGACGTCATCCTGCTTTGAGAATAATGACTTGGTACGCCAGAAGCTATACCAAGGTGAAACTTACGTCCTGGGCTTCCTGGCTGCAATGAACTGCCATCTTCCTTTAGGCAGTGGGCAGGGAAGGCAGGAACAGGTTAGTATGCCCGTCTTCTGCTTGGGGTTTTGAATCTCTTGGGACTGAGTTCAGGACCCAGGATTTTTGAGAAATTGGAAGTAGATGGACTGGGAAAACCTTGAAAAGGGATTACTGTGCTCTCTGTTAACAAAACATAAGATGGTTCAAGTAATTAATTTCAAAAAATAAAAGAAATGTGACCATACATGTAACATGGCAGGCTATACCATTTCTTCATGTAGGTAACAACACATACATAGTTTTGTTTCAATATTGTCTTTGCTCCCCCAAGTGACTTCTTTAAATATGACAATTTGGTTTTCAAAAAATCAAACACATCCCTGTTCCCTTTTCCAAGTTAACATGGAACTTACATTTTTTTTTAAGTGAGAAAGAAATACCACTTGTATTTTCAGTTTGCCTCAACTGTCACTATATTCTACCAACCCTCACTCATACGTTTGTGCTGTATATATACACACATACATACTGCAGTGTGTTCAGCAATTTCCAGTTCCTTATTTATTTCTTGAAATGAATGAACTAAGAAAAAAGTGCCAATTGTTCTTTCCAGAGATCATGCATTCTGATAGAGAAGATGCAGGAATCCCTTTTCTAAAATGTATCTGCAAAGCTGCTTGCTCCAGAGTTGAGCATGTGCTGCTCAGGTGACCTGGTGAGGGTAGAGGGTTATCTTAGGTTAGGTTGGACATATGTATATTTAAAAATACTCCCTCACCCCATGACATGCATGACAGAGGCTCTTTTCTTAAATCTTTTTTTCCAGGAGTGATAACCACTATTTATCACTTTTTATTTCAATATCTGGGTCTCCTTGCTCTCCTTCTTTTGACTGGTGTGTGTGTGGGGGCAGGTGGCGGGGAGCGGGGAGAGAGAGAATATGAATGAATGAATGTGAGTTAGTGACTCTCAGCCCTCTTAAAACTGTCGACCCCACAGAAGGGTCATATATCTTGTGGAAAGGTCAAGAGTGCAGGTGGTGGGGAGGGACAGGAGGAGGGCTCTGATAGGCTGGGTCTTCAGTCCTGTCAACCTCCACAGTTTTCAGAATCCAAGTACACCTCAAGACCTGTCTTCCAACCATGCAGTTCACACTCTTGCCTGGATAAGTCTGACCATTTACAGATGCCAACACTCAGGGAGAGAAGGCAACATTCCAGAAACCTAACTGCCTTCAGGAACTCAGACTTTAAGATGACCTGTTTTGATCAGATCCTAGGTGGCAAACATTAAGCTAAAGTAAAATAATTTAGCAACAGCAAAGCAGAATCTGGTCACGGGTGTTCCACGAAGAAATGGTAGTAGGAAAGAGATGGATGGGCAAACTTTATCCTCTGGTTCTAGAATGTTCTCTTTCTCCCAATTTCACAGCACTGAATCATAGATGAAAAGAGTGCTATGTTCCAATGTCTGTATCCCCCACAAATTCGTAATTTGAAATCCTAACCTCCGTGGTGATAGTATTAGGGGGTGGGGCTTTTGGGAGGTGATGAGGTCATGAGGACAGAGCTCTTGTAAGAGAGGCACAAGGAAGCTCATTTGTCCTTTGTACCATGTGAGGGCACAGCTGGAAGGTGCCAAGTATGAACCAGAAAGCAGGGCTTCACCAGTCATCGAATCTGCCAGAGTCTTGATCATGGACTTCCCAGCTTCCAGAACAGTGAGAAATCCATTTCTGTTGTTTATAGGCCACCCAACTTACGATATTTGGTTATAGCAGCCCCAAAAGACTAAGCCCAAAGCGTGTCATTAGGGAGAAGGGCGAGGATCCCTTTTTCTCCCTTACAGTTGTCCATGCTTTTCCTCATCTTAGAATTGTCTTTTGGACCAAATTTAGTGGCAACATTGTGCCTTAGCCTGCCAGAGCTTTCCTAGCTGGGCAGGATTCCTGCATCTGCCCTCTGTATGTTCCAGAGCTTTCTTGTTCCTGGGGCCATCCCCAGGTTTTGTAGAAAACCAGGCACTGCATCTTTGAGGACCAAATTAAAGAGAAAACATATTTTGTTGTTGTTGTTGAATACACACTGTATTTAACTTTTTTTTAATCCCAGAGAAGTGAAATGCAACATCTGTTTGAGTTTATGTAACATCTGAAGACCGACAACTCAGAATTTCCTAATTAAAGTCATTTTTAAGGCACTCTGCAGAGCCAGCTTTCATCTCTTCCTTCGCTGGGTTTTTCTCCAAACTGTAGCAGAATACCTGGTTTCTCTTTCTTCAAAGTGATACACACATGCTCATGCCTTAACCTGCTCTTCTGTCCTCCAGGACAACGAAACACAGCACAGTTCCAAGGAGGAAACGGTAAAGGAAGGAAATACATGGTGTAGGGGAGCAGGGTAAGGAGAGAGCAGGGAGGACACGTACAAGTAAATTAACTGATACAGTCGGTCGTAGCTGAAAAGAGAAAGAGCAGAAGGGAAATTGAACAGGGTGGGGTGGGCCAGATGGCTGGCAGCCGGTGAAAAAATAGGCTACGTTTCCCAGTGAGATCTAAATTAATTTAGCTAGTTCCCTGGTTTTTTAAAAAAAAAATTTTCTTTTTTCATTTTTAAAGATAGGGCCAATGCAAGGAAGGTATCTCAAAATTATGGAGGGTATAACATAGATAGTGTGCTTGCTTGTGCTCATGCACTTACGAAGGGCTGCGCTTACAGACAGGTATGACTTGGGGGCTCTAAAATGCCCTCCTGATATAAAAGAATCTCCCTTACTGGCCCACTTCTGTGCCTGAAATTCCCACCATTACAGCCACTCTTTCTGATTAAGGCATTATCTGTAGCCCCTATTAAAACATAAATGTCACCTGGGAAGGGTAACACTCAACTCTTTAGCACCCACTGACTGAACTGTCACCTATCAGAGAGTAGGACCCTGAGAGATGGGACAGAGGGCAGGGACATTTGGAGCGATGGGGAAAGGCGGCTTGGTGGTATGGGACGCTGGAGAGGGAATGGCTGGGCAGCTGAGGGGAGCGTGTGAAACAATGCTTGCCCCAGGAAATTACTTAGATGGAGGAGATGGGATGGCGAAATGAACTTACCCACATCACAAGTTTCCCTAGGCTTTCTGTGTGTGTGTAGTGTGTCTAACAGTTTGTATATATTATACATTCTGTGTATATACCTGAAATGGAATTCACTGGGGCCCGTCATGAACATAGTACAGTGAAACTCCATCAAGTGAAAGACAACGGAAGCCCTCAATTGTTTTCATGTAAAATGTAATCACATGTAAAGTGAAGTCTGGCATCTCTATATATCTAGATGGTTTGTATGCAGACAGTGTGTGCACACGTACGTGTAGACACACACACACACATTTACTCATACTCAGCAGCGGAGATCTTGTAGATGTGAAGGGTGAGATGCCTCTTCTCAGTCATCTAGGACTTGAACGCACAATGGCTGCTGCGTTGTGCATCCAAATCCTAGACAGCTGAGAAGGTTGGTTGCTGGAAAACGGACTTGCTGGGGGAGCACTGTGACCCCTTTCTCTGTTAACAGTAGACCCTCATTCAACTCAGTTGGCTCTGCAGAAATGGCCAAGGCTTGGGTTTTAAGACGTACATGGGCCACACCACCAAGATTGGGGCTTGGAGACAGAAATGTCGCCAAAGTGCCCTTTAAACTTTTGGAGTTTGGGAACCTGGAGAAGGTGCCGGTGAACAGAGAATCTTGCAGGGGATAGGTTTCTGCTCCGAGAAAAGCTGGAAACTGTTTGGAAGCAGCCCCCAGGCTAGATGCAGGAACCAGCCTCACAGTACCACTCATGGGACCTGCCCCCTCTCCAGGGATCTGCTATCGTTTGCTGCGCTGATGGGGGGAAGGTTCAGTGAGAAGGGGCTGGAGGAACGGGAAGAGGACTCCGGAGAAAGCCTGGGAAGTAAAGATGAAAGAATCTGGGTGGGGAGGGGCAAGGGAGAGGTGATACTAGAACTTTCCAACCCTATTTTCACATTAGAGTCATCTGGGTAACTTACAAAACTCCAATGCCCAGGATCTACCCTTCGATGCTGTAATTGGTTTGGGCAGGGGACCAGGCCTGGATATTTTTTAAGCCCTTAGATGATGCTAATGTGCATCTGATGTTAGAATACTACATCAGAGCAGAATAAGAAGTTTTGTTCTGCACTGTTAGGCTGAAGGTGGCTGGTCAATCCCCACCCGAGTAAAGGAGAATGAGAGGATTGGTGCAAGGTGGTTGGGGTGGAGGCCGGATTCTGAGAGCTGTCTGGACAGTCAAGCCTCTGCTGATTTGTGTGACCTTACAGCCTTGTTAGCTGGTGATTTCTAATCCCATGTCTGGTTGAAAACGTGGCTGAGGTGGAGGTGTTTGGGCGTAGGGAGAAAAATTTCCCTCTCTATTCTGAAGCTTCAAAGAGAAATAATTCACTGTGCTCTATGGGCCCAGGAAGACAAATTCTGGGGCTGATGTTTAAAAAATGGAAATGGATTTTGTGTTGTATAATAAATATAAATAAATACATTAGTAAGCAAGCCAATAAATAAACCAATAAATAAACCAATGCACACCATTTTTGCCCTCTTAAGGTGGTTTTCCCCTCACCCCACTGATCCTAGTGACTTACACTCTGCCCCTGGTCACCTGAAGGCACCCAGCCTGGCCGTGGAAGGGGGAACAAGATGACTGCCTTGGCCCTGGCTCTCCGAGGGTCAGAGAACTTAGAGAAACCTAGGGAGGTCACCCACATGGAGGAGGAGGAGGAAGGGAGATACAAATCCCCCGTTTCCCACCCAAAAGCAAAAGGAGGGAAGGCAGGGTTTGGGAACCAAGGCTGGGCCACGTTAGGTATTTAAAGTCCCAGGCTGACCAGCTCTTCATCCCCGGGAGGCTTCGCTTTGAGGGTTGGTGAAAGGACTTGGGATCTGAATGAACCCCATCTTTCCACACACAAAAAGATACAGCAGGCACAACTCCCACTTCAACACAGCTCCCCGTGGGCCAAGCAGGCAGCCCAGTCAGCCCAGGGCAAGTGCCGCATGGCTTGTGGAGGGTGGGTAGGAGGGACTGGTCATGGGATGGGAGGAAGGCGGAGGAGGTAGGCAGGATGGTACACGTTTTAATGGGAAATCAGCTGTCCAGGGATTCAGCTTCTGGAGCCGCCAGCCATTGCTCACTTCCTCCTTCTCAGTCTCTGCCATGTGGTTGTGCTTGCTGGGCTTTCCTTGTCCTACTAGGAGACCTGTATGTGGACACGGAAACATGTAAATAAAGTGGGCGTTAAGACAGTGATCAAATTAATTCCCTAAAAGCAGATGGTCATGATCTGGGCTCCATTAATAGATTTCAAGGGGAGATGACCCTGAAATTTTATGCAACATTTTTGTTATTTATTTTCATATGCACTTCTCTATAAAGAGAATCTATAACTTTCATATGGTTATTTTAAAAAGATTAAAAATAAAATAATATTAAAGGATTACAGGTCATTTATATGTATAACCTGTTAGCAAGGCACTGCTAAGCAATCCACGGAAATGGGGGGGAAGTTGAGATCCCCCATGGCATTGTTTTTTAGCATCCAAAGCACAAAGGGACTTGCAAGAATCTTTGAGTGACCAGAGCTGTAGCTTACCCAATATTCCTGTGCAAAGGGGTCACACCATGACTGAGCTAAAACTTAGTTTTATTCCAGAGTCCAAATCACTGGTAAAGAGATAAGTAAGAGATAAAACTTACTTCTTGAATATGCAACATTAGAGAAAACTGAAGTTATTCAGTTATTCAACCCGAAGTTGTCATGTAATAGTTGTGGTCATAACAAAGTGGGTGAACTAAAGTTGTAAAATTAGAAAAAACAAGTCTTGAATATATGAAGAGAGTTGCTCTAGCGTAAAGCCAAGCATCAGGCATCCTTCTCTTTTTTTCTTGATCATTCTTCTGTTTGGTATCTGAATTTTTGATATGCTCAGTTTGCTTACAGGGATGTACTGCTACAATGAGACAGTTTTTTATGATTATAAATTAACATGTTGCCTTTTCAGATTGTATGCATGGTTTCAATTTTAGGAAAAAACCAAATTTCAAATTCTTATGTAGATGGCAAAAAAAACTTGTTCCAATTGTTTGGAGTCAGTAGACAACGCCATTACATATATAATTGGGGACTTAACAGCCTAGAAGACAATGCCATTACATATATAACTGGGGACTTAATAGCCTAGAAGACATTCTAGAAAGTGTTCCTCTGTATTCCCTGTGCTGTGGAACAGCTGCCATGCTCTTTGGTGCCACTTCCCCTTCCTGCAATGAGATTGGTTAGAATTGGTCAGAGGCACTGACTGTGCTAGGCTTTGACAGCCCTCAATACCTTGTGTGACACAGAATGACAGACACAACAGGAACAGAGGGGAATGAGTAAGGCACAATGTGGCTGCACGTGTGCAGAGGCCTTGAGACACCCTGAGTCTGCCTATTTCTCCTGAACCATACTGGAGAGATGCCTGTGTGCCAGTCACATCAACACAATGACTGCTTTATATCATCATTATTTCACTATATTATTTCGGTTATACTTATTATACAATAAGGGTGTCTCTGGGTTAGGATAATTTTTCTGCAGAAAATATTTTAAATGCATGTTTGGATTCTATCAGTTTTCTCTAAGGCAAGGCACAGAGGCTCAGGGCTCTCTGTCAAATGTGCTCTCACAAGCCTAAAAACTTTGAGGGTGAATATGGCACTGAGATTGGCCTTCTTCCCATTTCACAGACGGAAAAGCGAAGATCTCAAAGATGGCCTGCATCAGACCACCATCAAGCCAAAATCAGGCCTCGGGGTCTCAGGTCTCCTGGTCCCTGACACCACCCTGCGCCAGTGAACACTGTGTTTGATACAGAGAGGGGGCTTGGAGAGATCTAATTCTACTGAAGAGAAAAAGACAGGATCAGGTCAAGCTGCAGAAGCTTTGGAATCCAACTGAGTTTAAAGCTGCTTATTCTTTCACAATAAATGCCCTATTTCCCTTCTGATGAACGTGCCTGAAGGCGGCGTTTTCCTTTGTTTGATTTTGTGAGTGGCTCCTGGGAACAGATGCTTTCTTGCTATTTCAGAAGACTTAGGAAATTTTTTAGGTGAGACAGATGAGTCTTTAGTTCCCTGATGCATGTTCGTGTGCCTTCTCAAAGAGATGGGTGGGGCAGCCTCTCAGTCCCTGCTCATCTGATATGCATGTGCAGAGTCTTTCTTTCTTTCCTAATTAATTAGAAGTAATAGCTTTCCATAGTTTCTGGTACGTGAGGGAGTGAAGTGGGAAATAATTTAATTGGCTGTCTTGCTTTCAAAGCCGAGTTTAATGAAATAGTTCTCAGCCTGAAGTGCATGTATTATCTTTCCTGTTATTTTTCCAATTAACATTTCACTGGATCACGTCTGTGTGGAATATTCTAATTGGTTTGAAGGGTGGGGTGAAGGGACAAGAGCAGATGGAGAGATAACCAGCTGTTCCTTTCATCCCCAGTGTCTGTGCACGTACTGATGTGGCTGTAGGTTTTTCCCAGGGCATTTCCTTGGAAGAGCTCTAAGTGCTCGACAGAAGTCCTGCCCTGTCAACCTCACCTATCCTCATGGAGCCCCTGGGCCAGGAAGGCAACATCTCCTCACAGGCACACTGGCTGATGCACTGGATAGAGAGAACTAAGCAGGCATTTCTGTAGGTTCTGGGCTCCCCTCTGATGGGTGAGCCCAAGGGGGAAAATAAGTGGCTCCCAAAGCTTCCTGTTGGCATTGTCTCCCTGAGGACAGGACTCTGTTTAGCCTGACACATAGGAGACACTCACTACAGACTTGTTGACAGAACAAGTATTCAGAGGGATCCCACAACATCCTTCCTGCTCGATCTTCTTGTGAAGAGAGCAATGAGTTGGAGGTGGGCATGAAGCAGGGCTGGGACTGGGGGAGGTAAGCCAGGTGCCTAGGGTAAACACTGAATGAGGCTTGCTTGCACAGGGGCAGGTGAGTGCAGGATCCAGTATTTAGGAAGGGTCTTACTCTCAGGCCTGGGCACGGCCTGAGAGTGAGTGCCTTCTTAAATACAGGATCTTATGAGACCAGCCTAGGCAATATAGCAAGACTCCAGCTCTGTGAAAAAATAATAATAAAAATATCCTGGATCCTAGTGCCTGCTTGGCTCACCCAGTCCCAGGACTGGCATGAAGCAAACAATCTCTCCTCCTTTATATTTCCTCTCTGTTCCTAGTAATACTGGCCTTCAGTCAGCCTGAGAACAGCCCTAGGCTCAGCGATCTCACTATCCAAATACTTCATGGCACTGGCTGTATTTCTCAGTCCCCAGTGAGGTCTGTGTGGCACTGGGTTGTGCTCTGTGTCTCTGGCCTCTCCCATCATTGCTGTAATTCTAATATGTTTTCCCTTCTCCCGGGCATTTCTGACCCAGCACTCAGCTGTTTTGAAGATCAACTCGTTTTCTGGGTTAGCCAAGGACAAATGTGGGCCTGGAGGCAGAGGAGGGGCTCCTATGCTTGGCCACATGGCCTGCTGCCCAGAGGCCTGGCTTCACATTCGTCCTGGGAAGAAGAGTTGGTTAGGTTCTCTTAGGGGCCATTCCTAGGCCCAGCTGGGAGAGGCACAGTGTGAGGTATTAGGACGGGGAGCCCTTGGGAAGCAGCCCTGAGGCAAACAGTGTGGCTGGTCCATGTGGGGCCATGGGGAATGGGGCTGCCTTGGGCAGGTGCAGAGAGACAGAGGCCATCATCATATATGCCTCCAGTGTGGTGAGATAGCCTGGGGGCTATAGGATACAAAGAAGTATTTCTTCATTTTATTTGCACCCACATGGCCAAATGTGAAATAACACCGTTAAACTGTGGGGGCCCAGCCAAGATCTGGGACATCAAAAACTGTGTAGAGACCCACATAAAACTTTGAATATATACATATATTTTCCTCTATCTCTTGTCTGAGCCCATAACCGGAAGAATGCAGCTGTTCCTGGCTGGCTTCTCTAGGTTTAAACTATGCAAATTGGGCTGGGATTTCAAGTCTGGCCTAGATTTGACATTCCAGCGTCCTTTCCTTTCCAAAAGGCCTCTTGGAGTTCCAGCTACACATTCTTTCTAGAGCTGCTTCCTGGAGTGCTATGCAAAAATCTTTCTTTCCTTGACCACCAGGGTTCAGGCCTCCCTGAACAAGCAAGGTGGCTGGGGGAAACGGGGCCCACTCTCCGCAGGGGCCAGGCCTCACTTGGCAGGAAGAGCGGGTTCTCCTGAGATGGTTTTGGGCTTCCAAGTAGATGAGGCTAGAGGGCCTGCCATCAGTTTCAGGCCCTGTGTTTCTACTCAAGTCTTAGTATCTTACATGAGGCAGCACATCAGGCAATTTAGAGTATTTTCAGACATTGTCCCACTTTGTCTTTCTCATTGTGATGTTGGGTGGGCTGTATTAATATCTCAGTTAACAGAGAAGGAAGCCAAGGCTCAGAAAAGTTAAATGATTTGTTCAAGTTCAGCTACCAGCAGGACCTCCAAGATCTCAAGTCATGCTGATGTCCCAGGTTCTGGCCTCCTACCTCGGAGCACCTCAGAGCACCCAAGTAGGCCTCCCTTCTAATGTGGGATAGGAGAGAAACCACTTGAAGGCACAGCCTGGGCCACCTGAATCCTGACTCCTCAGTAGAGCTTATTCTGTCTGGTTAAAGTACAAGAGATCAATTAGGGAACTCTTTCCTAGTCAGCCCTGCCTGAGGAACAGTAGTGGCTGGACAAGTGGAGGAGGGTGCCTGCATTTAACCAGGGAGAGAATGTTCTGTGAGAATGGAGTAAAGGTCTGGGGTAAAAATATCTGTGTGTAGAGGGCTCAAGTTCTTAGGGCACCACTAAATTAGTGCGACCTTGGACAAGTCACTTGAGCTTTCTGCTTCAAATTTTTCATTATAAAGTGGTGACATAATGCCAAAATATTACAGGATTGTTGAGGATAAAGTGGCAAAATATTTGTGTCTGTACTATGTAAACTGTAACATATTAATCAGATGGGAGTGTTGTTACCATTAATAACAATGACAGATCAGGCCAATACTAAGACTTCCCATCTAGAACAGAGATGCCTTTCATTTTACACAAAGGAAATGAAAAACTCTTTATAAAAAACCGTAAAGCACTTATACATAAAGGGAATTTTAGGACCCTAAGGTTGGTGATGGGCTCTGTCATGGGCAGGTGCACCGCTGACCTGGGTGGGGGATGGGGATGACACTCCATCTCCCCAGATGCCTTCCTGTGAAAGTGTTTGGAATGACCAAATAACCTTGACTGTCCTCTGGCCACTGAACTGGCAACTCTTCTGATGGTCTTCCATAGGCAGATGTCCTACCAGGGAAGCTGGAACCAGATGTACTCAAGATCTCAAAAGAAATTAATGGCAGTAAGACTCTGGGGTAAAAATATCTGTGTGCACAGAGCTTGCTCACTCAGCTCCCTTTCTATCTAAAGATCATTTAGGCTTAATTATAGAGTTCAGGCATTCATTGGGTTTTTGATTAATTTTCTTTTCAGTTTGAAGAGTATGTGAGTGTGGTGGGTCTGTGTGTGTGTGTGTTTACATCTTTCTTTGCAACTCAGTTGGGAGCTGGCTCTTGCAATGTTTAATTGTGCCCTCAGTTCTAACAAGCATGTTCAATGTGCCAACCAGGGCTTGGAAAGCCATTGTTTCCACTGCTCACACCCCAAAGGCTGCTCCTGCCATGTTGAGGGACGGCGGGTGGCAGGGCCTTGTTCAGCTGGGACCTCAGTTGCAGGATGCATGCTTTCCTTCCCCTTTTTGGCCTTGTGGTGCTTAAGGGATTCTGAGACCAGGAGAGCAGATTTCCTACTCCAATTACCAGTACTCTGCTAAGAGCTGCTGAGTGACAGCTAGCTCACCCACACTGCAGCCCCTGTCAGGCATTATTTTCTGGGATAACCTCCCAAAGGGTTTCTTTACAAAAGAAAGCAGTGTTTGTTCTTGTATGTTTAGCATATCCATTTAATAGATTGGGAGAGACTACATGACTGTGTAGATGAAAGTGACCAGCTTTCTCCTTTCCTTCCTTTTCTTTTGTGCCCTCTAGGCAGGGATGAACAGGAGAAGCAGAAAAGGATAATGGAAGGGCATGGAAGTTGGAGCCAAAAGGCCCCATTTGAATCCTGGCTCCTGACATTTTGTTTGTGTACTCATGGATATGTCACTTAACCTCTTTGGTCTCAATTTATTATCTGAAAATGGGGATAATAATACTCCTTAAGAGTATTACACTCATAAGACTGGGGATGAGAAAATGCATGTGGAAGACTTCTGTAAAAACACTCTATAAATCATAGTTCTTTTATTTTACTGATCAGAATTGCTGCTTAGTACATGATTCTGACCTACGAGATGTCATTCCAGCACCAGGAGAGAGGGAGTTGCAAAAAGGTCCATGGAATAGGAGGTGGGTAGGGGACTAGCCTCCAACCTTCTCATGTGCCCCCATCTCATGTGAGATGAGATTCAGGAGATGTGCTTGGCTCTTCTTCTGGCTAGGTATGTGGGCTACAGCAATGACCCAGGAATGTCAAGTGCATGCAGTGAAGGGCCCAGATTAAGGGTTCAACCTCAAAACAGCCATCACAGATAAAGGGAATCTGGAACATTCAAATTTTCTTTTACATAATAGTAACAGGGATTTTCTCTTGTTCTTTAAAGGATGGATCCAATTGTCTCTAGTTTTTAGATTCATTGATTTGTGGGTGAATGGATTAGGGATGATGATAATGTTTTGGTTGCAGACAAGAGGCTGTGGGTCCTCGCTAAGTGTGACTATGTTGTCAGATGAAATTTGGGAGATGGGGCCTTCTTTTGGCTCTTCAGCTGGCTAGGTATACGATTCTGAATAGATGACCTAATTTAATGAGGCCTCAATTTCCTTCAAGATCATGGACTAAAAGATCTCAAAGGACTTGATTAAGGAAACTTAAGACCTGATGAAATGCTTTTTCCTATGGAATTCAAAACTCTTTTGCCACCAAGAAGCCATGTGTTGTGTGTGTCTAAGTCCTGAGACCACCCAACTAAAACTTAAGGCACTAAATGAGCCCCTTTAAACTGATGGCATCTGGCGTCAGGCCCAGGCACTTTGAGGGGAAGGAGGACTGGATGGGAGGGCAGAGGTGACCTCAACAGAGATTTCAAGGTTAATTCTCTCTTGTATGACAGACTTTCATTTGGCAATATCCTGACTAAGCTGAAAGATAATGACCTACAAATCACAGGAAGAAAAGGGGTCATTTCCTTGTAAAACAACAGTAACTTGAAAATAATTGGCCACAGGGCAGTAGAGCGTTCTGCCAGGCTGACTTCAGAGCTGAGAGACACAACTGTAGAGTTCACAATGGTATCAATAACAATAATCACAATGTATATGATGCTTTTAACTTTCATAAGCACTTTCCCATTTTTTTTTCATTTTGTCATTACACAATTTCCCAGAAAACTGCTGTAGGGTTCATTTAAAACTCTGAAAAAGTGTGATTTTTCACGGGAAACAAGTCTAGCTAAATATGCTACACCTTGCTTTAGAAATACAGATATGCTTCTGAAAAAGTTATTTGTAAGTATAGTTGTGTAAGTCATATAGTATTTTAATGCACTAGGGGAATTTGAAAACATAACTCTTCTATAGCATTTTGTAATGTAAATTCTCATTAATCTGTTGTTACAACTTTGGAGTTTAAAATATCAGGTTTTCGTCAAGTTGGGCCACACGGATTAGATTCTAGGATCAGTATCCACTCCCCAGAATCCCACAGGGGTAGAGTCTAATTCAGTCTGGGGGAGAGATTGCGGCCTGTGGTGTCAGCATGGAAAATAAGCTGCTTTGTATTTTAGCCATGGAGCTCTTGGGGGCTGCCTTTCCCAATAAAACAAGGAAACATGGGAAGGGACAGAGAATTTCAAATGTAACAGCTGAATTATTTCTAAATGAATGTCTCCAGGTCCTCTGTGAGCCACTGATGTATTATTAACGTGCTGTTATAAATAACTTCCCATCAATAACTAATCTATAACAGAATAGTTGATGGTTGGGGTGTGAGGTTAACACTACATAATTTGGAGCAGATCTGTTAGCACTCTTACGTAAATAAGTACCATCCCCTGGGACTAGAATCTGAAATAAATTACACTAAATTGAATTTTTTATAAAAGTAATAAACCCTCCTGCTTTTTATTCTCTATCCACAAACTCTAGTAGAAGACAGCTCTTTGGAGCCAATCACGAGATTGTAAAACTGCCTTGAACTTCAACTTTCTCCCTCTGAAATTAAGTTAGCAGTGTTTACTTATTAAATCTACAATGACAATGTGAAAATTTTATAATTAGTTTGCACGAAGGGGGGTGGTGAACAAGCAAATATATATACAACCATATATATGGTTGAATTACTGAGAATAAAGGGAAAAGTTCTTTTTTTGGAGTGGGGGAGGGGAGGAAGGGTGATTCAAGCTAGAACTGCAAAAATCCTCACTGCAAAGACTGGAAACCCTCAAAAACAAGTTTTATATTGGCCTGATTAAAGTAAACCTGGCCTCTCATCTTTACTGGTTAAATCTTAGCAATACAAGCTTATTTAATATGAGTAGCTTAGATTTTCTTTAAAGGGCTCTAAAGTTAAGCCTTAAGTAGTAGTTTCTCACAAATGCTCAAGTTTGAGCTTCTGTGAAATAGAGCTAAAATAAATATATATATAAACATACAGTGTATGTACATACAAAGGCTACAGGTAGATACGTAGGCACTGGTGGCAAATATGCTAGTAATTATGCTATACGCATCCTTCATGTGTGCATGTGTGCATGTGTCTGTGCATACATGTGTCCATTCTATGTGTTCAGATCATTCAGAAACTCAAAAGAAGGAAGGAAAATACTGTTCTTATTTGCTGAAATGTTCTTGAAATCTTACATGGATTCATGGCTTATAATTTTTTAAATATAAATTTAGGGCTAATCATGGGAACAGAATAAGCAGCTGTAAACAAAATCACAGTTAGGATTTCACTAAAACATGGACAGAGCCCCAAATATCCTAACTACTGCAGAATACAGGAATGAAAAAGCCAAATACTGTGATTAAAAATACTCTGAATAAGCAATCTTTTTGGAAAGAGGTGGGTAGATGGAACTAATGAAGTGTTTCTGTTAGTTCACATCAGCACCTTGGACAGTTCCAAGGAGGCTTTCTCCCTCAGAAAGGAGCAAATATCAGTATTTGTCTAGTTTTCTAAGTGTTCATTCATTCCAGTGAGTGTGTGTCGATCTGATGATCAAGTAATAAATGCAGAGGTATTAATGTGTAATAAAACCTTATTCTTTCCTCTCCCCATCACCCATTCTTTCACCACCCTTTTCCCCAGCACCCTCCAGTCAGACAGCAGGAGTCTGCCTTATGACCACCTGGTGTGGATGTTTTCACTCCTACTTCTTATTGGTTGGGAAGCAGCATTTGCCACAGGCACTGTTTAATTTTGTTTCCATCCCCTGCATCTCACAGGAAAGAAATGGTCAATAGTTCAGATAAAGAATCATCCTGGTCAGCTCCAAAATATGGCTACTTGCATGGTAATCACAGCAAGTCTGTCAAATCAGTGATTTCTTTATTCCTAAGAGGAAGGGATTTTTCCTAAGGATTACGGTTCTACCACCCAAGGAGCAGCCCTACTCTTCAAAAGTGGCTGCAAAGGCTGGCAAACCGAGAGGTCTGCTTTGGCTCAGAAACTCAGTTTGGCTCCTGCCACCCCTGGCACCCTCACTGCATGTCTCAGAGGCATGTGATCCACACACAGTCAGGCCAGTCTGCTTCTACTTAGGAGGGATCACAACCAGAGGTGGCCCCCGCTTGGGCCTCCACATGAGGACCTGGGCATCATTGGCATTGGGTTTCACTAGTGCGTTAGGGGGGATGGGTTCCATCCGGCTCAGGATCCGGGGCTGCTCCTGCTGAGTCCTGCCCACCAGCCGGGCCCGCTGCCCCAAGAGCTGAAGAGGGTCCACCTCAATGTCCACCCTCATCCTCCACTTGATGGTCTGCAGAATGATCTTCTCCTTTGTGGTGGTGTTCATGGCCACCAGCCAGGTCGTGAAACTTTGGTCTCTCTTGATTCTTGTGAGCAGCGGCACATTGCTGTCGCTCACAGGCACTGCCCATGTCACACTGGGGTAGAAGTTGTCATTCATGCTGACGGAGAACCTGGAGATCTTGTTGGTGGGGCCAACCAGGGTCACAGTTTCTGTGGTGTTCCCGTACCAAGGGTAGCTCACCCCATCTGAGTCACTGATGGCTTTTACTCTCCCTTCCCTCAAGTCAGGCAGTTCCCAGCTTGACCTGGCAAAGCAGAAGACATGCACAAGAAAAGAAGAGGCTGAATGAATTTTTCAAAAGCTGGAGAGGTGCTCACTGCTTACTAACATAGTCAACTTGGGCAAAATGGGAAGTTCACAGGGGAATTCAGGTCAAAAAGTTCTTTGCTGTGCTGTTTCAGGATTAAACGAGAACAAACCAAAATAAAAATAACAAAGCTGTGCCAAAACAACTTAAACACAACCATGGCTGGCCCAATTGAGAACAGGAAGCTCAAAGAGGCAGTTGTGAGACCACAAACAGACATCAACTAGTTACATGATGGTAATCAGCAATTTAGAGGAATTCCATTACAAGAAACACTTCCTTGGAAATATGAGCGTAAGATTTGTTTTTTGGGAAGAAACAATGGTTGAAATTCGATGTACTTGGAAGGCAGTATCTGGTGGAAAGAAGGGCAAAGGAGGCAAAATTAAAGGTTATATTAATTTCTTAGGAAATCACAGTAATAGAATTTCTACTCAACAAAGAGGGTTGTTTAAATCCTAGGCATCAGCCAATTCATCACTTAGGCATAGAAAATCATAACACGAGGAAATAATGGTCATCTTCTGGAAAACCACCTGAAAGTGAAAGTTGTTCTACAGGCTGGCATAAACTCTAATGCACTGCCCTCCCGCTGCCTTCCAGTTCAGCCTAGAAGCCTCATAGCTTAGTTTGGCAAACTTGCCATTTAGCACCTACCTACTCCTGGCTGCCTCTGACCTTGTACAGAAGGAGGAACCAGTGTCTCTCCCCACTGCTGTAGACGGTTGCTAATAATAATTGCTGATACTTATTGAGTGTTACTCTATTCCAACCATTGTGCTAAGTACATCATCTCAGTTAATATTCAAAATACTCCACAAGATAAATAAATTTTTATTTCCATTTAACACATGACGGGAGGGAGGCTTAAAGATGTTAAGGTACATGAAAAAGGTCCTACAGAGTGCAAGAGGTGAAGCTGGGAGTTGCCTGACTTCAAAGTCCATGGTTTTGACCACTAAATCATACTGCCTCCCAAAGTGCCCTTACGTAGTGCTGGAGAGAGCCAGGGCAGAGAGGACTCAGGCTGTCCAATGAGTTAGCAGCTCCAGGACCAGTCACGGAGAACTGGACTGGACCCCAATAAGGGCAGAAGTCTAGTCAGCAGAGTCTGATTATGCATTCTTCATATTTTCACGACAGGGACCAGGGATGGTGCTTGGTAATAATGCACTAGAATTTAATAATTAAAGAAATGTGACTGCTTTATTCATCAGCTAAGAGGTAGTCGTCTGGTCTGATATAAAGTTCTTCCTCCTATGAAGTGACAGAAGATCCTGCAGGGTTTTATACAGGTGGTCTAAAAGGGAGTTGCATTGTCAAGCTGGTGCTGAGCATTGTCAAGCTGGTGCTCAACATTCTTTACTGTCACATGGGGACATGGAGACACTAACTACTGCCTCCTACTGACCCCTCACAGTACCTCCTAGGCCGGTCAGCCCCAGCCCGAAGTGAAGGGAGGGCTTGGCTGCCTGGGGAGGAGGTAAGCCCACAGCTGCAACAGCCTTTTCTCTTGTCATGCCCTTGGTAACTGCTGGGAATAATTGCAGTGTATCATGGTTGGCAGACACTAAGTAAGGAATTGACCTGATGCAGAAAGTCAGAGAGAGCTCATTTTGCTACATATGCTTTTGCAGCTGGGGGTAGGAGTGCCCAGGTAATTCTATGCCATTTCTTACTGTACAAAAGGGAGTACATGTTGTTTGAGTGGGTCAGAGGCTGGGTAGAGACCCAAAGTGCTCATCGGGTTCATGAAATAACCATACTGGAGTCGGTTTCATGCCCCCATGCAAAGGGCTAAGACAATTCTTCAGTCACAATACATCTATTTTCTGTGTTGCCTAAATCTTGTTTTTCATTTCGGTTGTAACCAGTCCCTGCTGGCCTTTGATTTCCTCCTTAGAATTGGAGGGCAAGCATTCCCAGCAGTGGCAGACTGTTCTTGCTCTCCCACCCTACACACTGGGTTTACTGTGGCATATTGCCTGGGGAATTTGGTTTTGAGTGGATGTACTTTTGATTCTGTTACAACACAGTCCTTTCCAGGACTGGCTATCTTGCTAGTAGATTCAGTGACTGTATCTATAGAGTCTTTACAGTTCTCATATTTTTGCCTCCTGTCTTCCTGCCCAGAGCTGTGTGAACAGAGACTTGGGCCCAGGGTCTGCAAGTCAGCCTTGTAAGACAAATCATAAAACTTAGTTTGGTCCCAGGTTTTTTTTTGGGGGGGGGGGGAGGAAATAGAGATAATACAATAAAGGCACACTCTTGTGGCTCTCTCAGGAGGGAAGGAAAGGACCTTTTTCTTGGAGGAGTTTCTGGAACAGAGAAATATAACAGGCTTCTTAATCATCACATCAGAACAAACACATCTGGCCACAGGTAGTCATTGGGAATAGTGACACTGGAGGCTACACTTTAGTTTCAAACACACTGCTGTTACTTCTGCAACTGTGCTTTTGGGAATTCCTTAGGTCAGAGGCATGTTCTCCTCCACAGCCCTAGGGAATTAGGATTACATCATTAAGGGATGGTCTGATTTTGGAAACAGCCAAAATTCATTATGACTTAAGTCTAGTGAATAGGGAGCTCCTTTAGATTTGAAAAATATCAAATTTTTCCTTTATGAAAAATAGATACTAATGTACACCCCAAGGCAGTGACCTTCCCTTCTTCCCTCTGTCTCTCCCTCCCTTCCTTTCTCTCTCTTTTTTTTTTTTTTCCAAAAAGAGAGTTATGTCTATAAAATGCATGACTGGTTTATGTGGCTGATAAAATGTCTTTGGTCATAGTTTTTTGAGAAGTCTCTGAAAAGTTACAAGAACAGTAGCACTATTTGAGTCACTCAATGACCATTTAAGGGGATTACTTTGAATGGAATGCCGGAGGCATTTCAAACTCCATATGGTTCAAACTGAACTCATCATTTCCACCATAAACCAAGCCGTCTTCCCCTGTCTGTGCTGCAGGGGGTGGCCCACTGCTCACCCAATCTTCCAGGTCAGAAGTAAGGGCCATCTTTGGCTCTTCCCACACCCTCCCCTAGGCTGCTACAGCGACTGTATCACTGCATCCTGTGAATTTTGTCCCATAGTGATGCTTGACTTTATCTCCTTTTCCTCATCCAACTCTTACTGCCTTCACTTAATCCAAGCCCTCAGCATCTCTTACCTGGTCTACTGTAATGGCGCATAACTTGTCTCTTTGCATCCAACTCTGGTCCCTCTCAAATCCATCTTTTAGGTTGCCCAAGTGTTCAAACATGCAAATCTGATCATGCTCTTTCTAAACATAAAATCCTTCCAAGGCTTTTCTATATGGACATCGCAGGCATCACCCACAGGTTGAAATTCAAGTTCCTTAACAGGATATACATGGCTCTCCATCATCTGGCCTCCCCATCCCCACACACCATGCATCTCACTTCCACTGCTGTGCCCTGTGCCTATGCTGTTCCTCCTCCTATTCAATTTCCACTGTATCGAACTATTCATCCTCTGAGAATCACCACATGTATCACCTCCTCCATGAAGCCTTCTCTTCTGTGCACCCATAGATATATCTACATCTACAGGTGTCAGATTACATTATAAGGATTTATGTGTCTTCCCCATTAGATTACAGGTTTCTTGAGGCTTGGAATTATGACTTATTTTTGAATAATTAGTGTCTTGCATATTGCTGGCACATAAAACTTAACTATTTATTAAAAGAATAAATATTTTATTTGAATTATTTTCATGACTATATTCCTGGAGCTTGGTAGAACTTGTATACAACAAAGTGTTTTATTGCAGTTGTATACTTTACATATTTACTCACCTTTAAAAAAATCTAACATCTACTATTCATTTAGAATCTATTTATTAGAATAGTATCATGCCTTGCACTGAAAGTTGCTTATCCTTAAAAGGAGGAGGCACACTTAAATGAAACTGAATGAATTAGTGAATATGAATGTATTTTAGTGACTACTCATGCCATCATATACCTACGTATAAAAATGAGTGTCAGAGACTCCAAGTGATACAGCAATTCGGAGACATGGACAACCATGCAGGCTACAGCAGGGGAAAAGCTTTGTGAAGGAAATGGGATATGAACACTTTGGAATAGAGACAGGCATTCCAGGTGGGAGACTGCGTCATAGGCTAAAGTGTGATATCAAGCATGGATGTGGCGTGTCCAGGAAACAGAGAACACTGGGAAGAGTGAAGACACTGCTGGGGGCACAGGGTAGTATCGGTTTGTGGAGCACCTTCAAAAATGGATTTAGGTACTTGGGCTGCATCCTAGAGGTGGTGAGACTTTTGCTCAGGAGAGTTACTGCAAGGAAGAAGAGTAATGAAAAAAGTAGGATTAGATGGCTAAAGGGAGGGAACGAGGATGTTTAGGAACTTCTGTAGCACTGCAAGTGATCTTTAATGATGGCTTCATCTAGACTGGTGGCTGAGAAAATGGACAGGTGTCACATATAAGAGATATTACAAAGGTAGATTCTCCAAGGTTTGGTAACCAATTGCCTGTTAGAGACAAAAGAAGACAAAGAAAAACAATTACTCAGAAGAGGCAAGTATGGCTGACTGTGTGTGTGTGTGTGTGTGTGTGTGTGTGTGTGTAAATCATTCACAGAAGTAACAAGATTGGGGTCTCACTGTCCGTGACATTTTACACCCATCCCTGAACCAATCACAATGGTGTTTCAAGGTGTAGTACGTGACTCCTGCATTACAGCATGAGGATGGTGAGGATGGGGTCGTATTTGTCTTTGTATCCTTTGTCTGGAGCATGGTGTCTGGCACATGATGCATACTTACTAATCTTGTTTCTCTTTATCTCTCATTCTTTTTCATTGTCCTTTGCTGGTTCTGCCTCATCTTTCAACCTTTTAACATTGGAGGGCTCCAGGGCTTAGGCTTTGGTCTTCTCTTTTCTAT